ACCGTTCAAGCGCCGTGGCCTGCCCAAGTCTGTTTCACGTTTCTCAAGTCTCTTGACGTGTCTGACCAAACGTCCATCTCACAGCCACCATCCTTTTGCGAGTCCATCAAACGAGCATCCCTTTGCGGGAACGCCAACGTTGGCTTTGTTCTGGATGGACTGGCCCCTGTCACTGGAACGTGGAGTTATCCCAGCACTGGCTCGGAAGCGGCATCAGAGACGGGCGCCGCACTCGCGCTTGCTTGACTTGTTTTGACAGTGCCTCGTTAAAGTGCCATTGTTTAAAGTGCCCGGCCTGAAACATCCATAACATTTTCTTATTTAATGGGGCTGTGTTAGGGGTGGGGTGGCAGGGGGGGGGGACGAGGGGCGGGGCGGGGTGGGGGAAGGCAGCAGTGAAAGAATCCGAAGACGAACAAGAAAAACACAACTTTTTCTTTTAATGTTAAATAAACTGTATAAAAAATGGAGTAATGGCCCCCGAAACTCTCCTGCCCCCCCCCACCCACCCCCTCCCCCGTCCCTCGTCAGGGAGATGCCTCGGAAGCTCTTAAGGAGGCGACGATCAATCTTGCCGCGGACATTTTTAGTGTCGGCGTGCTCGCCCCGTGTCCCGAGGCTTCCGGAGGGGTTGACCGCAATTGGCTGCAACAAAGGGGACTCCTGTCGAGGGCTGTTAGCCGGGCCCCCCCCCACCCCCCCGCGCAATCAAAGCGCCCCGGCCGCCGGCGCCCAGCCGGGTCCTCTGGCGAATGCGCCGTGATGGTGGGGTGGGGGTAGGGGTGGGGGGGGGACGATGATGATGATGAGGAGGAGAGTGCGCGGGCACAGCGGACGACGAGACAATTCCGTGCCGGGGCCCCGTGACTCTATCTTAGTGATAGGAGCACTCGTGATGCACGTACCCAGCGTCACGACCACGTGGAGCCCCCCCGCCCCCCCACCCTCGTCCCCTGGGCCTCATCGTCCACCCTGGCCCGAGAACGCGTGGGGGGGGGGGGTGCGTTGGCGTTGGAACGGCGCTGGCTGTCATTTAGAGCGGAGGAGTTGCCCCTCCTTGTCAGTGGCATCTGCAAGCGCAGCAGCGTTTGCTTTACAGTCGGCCTGATTTTGCCGACGGGACCCAGAAAGGGGGGGGGGGGGCGAAACTGGCCCAGCGGTATGCTTGCTCAATCAACTGCTGCTGGGTTGCGTTCTGACTGGGCTGACTGGGCCCCATCCATCCATCTGGGATCGATTTAAAGTGAGTGCCACTTTGTGAGGAAGTCAACAGTGGTTTTCCTTTTTGGTTTCTTGGATCTATCTGTGTGTTATACCCCCCCATCCCCTTCCTTTTGTAACTTTCTGACCACTCCAGATCATCTTGGGGGTCTCTCCGAGTATTTAGCCCTCCGCTTTTGTCACTCGCTCGTGAAAACGAAATGTAATTTAAGGGGTGAAAATGCAACATTGAGCAGTGTTGATGAGCACCGTACAATATTTAATGCTCACTTGACCGTGAATGTGTCAACTATAGAGCAGATTTAAAGGTGTTGTTTCGTGATGATGATGCTGCTGCTGCTGCGTTGGTCGTCACAAACGGCTCGACAAATCCATCGACAATACTGCGTGTCCTTGAAAGTAAAACGTATACAATCGGCGACGTTTTGGGCAATAGCCCCTTCTTCATGGCACAGAGAGAGAGAGATGGTGGCTGATACGAGTTGGCAACGGTGGTCTGTACCCCCCCCCCCCTTCTTTTGTTGTAACTTTCTGACCTGGACATCTGTGAGAAGAAGCGCTTCATAATATCCTCGTTGGATTTCTCCCCAGGTCAAGAAAGATTGTGATTCTGCCACGCACGGCGCTCTGTCAGGTGCGCGCCGGTTTTTCCTCTTCACGTGCCAGACGCGCGTGAACGGAATTGCCCAAATACCCCCAGCGCGCAAGGACTGTCGCCAAGAAGTCTTGAGACTCGGGGTGAGGTTTTGCTCGATAAATAAAGGGCCCCATTGTCGTGTCAACCATTATTAAGTGTACTCTCCAGACTATAACGTGCGCTGATTTTTAAAGCATTCACACGAGAACAGTTGGTTCTCGTATGTGTGTGAACCAGAACGTAGCTTCGCTGTACAAGTTCAGAATCAGAATCTTTATTGATCCTGGACAAATCCGATGAGCTATGAAGCTCTTTTTCACAGATGCCCAGTTGGGCCGGGTCAGAAAGTCAGGAGTGACTCTTGCTTAACGGGAGTGTCCTTATTATCGAGAGAATACGGGTATCTATTTTATTTCTTGGACCTGTTTTCTGGAGCGCATTATAATCCAGAGAATTCGGTATCTTCATTTCTGACGGGCCATAATGATCTGAGGCCCTGTGCTGTGCACCTCATTGAGTCGTCCCCCCCCCCCTCCCATACATTAATCCAGCCCTGGGGATCGTGGCGATGGGGCAGGATGAGGGTAGAGGCCTGGTGGAGGAGGTGGACAGAAAGAAACGGAGTTGAGACGGAGTGCTCGCCTACGAGAGAGATGAAAAGCAACACCGGACGCGGTGGAAATATCCCAGCGAAGCAAATCGTTGCTCCGCGCCGCGTTCTCGCCGTGCAGAAACTCGACAAGCCCAAACGCCGCTCTCTTTAAAAACTCCAGTTTTCATTTCAACAGGTTCTCCGGGACGGCGAGCGGGAGAACTGTACTCGCACTGTATAATGCGGGTCATGTTCACAGACACCCCCCCCCCCCACCCCTCCGTGGAGAGAGCCAATTGCCAGGTCATCTCGCAGCGTGCAATCCCGGATGCCTCGCTCATCGCACGCGGAGGGCCTGCTGGGGCCAGGGCTTCACCACGCGTGGCCCACAGACAACGACGGTCTGTCATCCCCACTTTCGTAAAGCTAAAGGAGCAGCCCCTGCAATTGCTGGCGGAAGAGCCTCCACTTAAAGAAGGGAGGCTTTCGAGCCGCAACCCCCTCTGCATGGCACTTTACCAGACCACACGCGACCTACCAGTCGACACGCTGTGGTGCAACCGAGTTGCACCGCTGGCTGGGTGGACACAGAGGCGGTGGTGGGGATTTAAGAATCTTCCCCGACCCCCCCCCCCCCCCCGCACCCCCCCCCCCCGTTGTTTCATCTGCCGTGCCAGGAGTTCGAATCAAACCGCGGCCCCTGGGTTTCAAGCCCGGCATGTGCTGAGCCTTACAACACCCCTGGCAGCCTCCTGATGCACGTGAGAGTAAAATAAATACGTAAAAAAAAATCTTACAATCAGACGGTCGCCGGCTGCCTTTATAAATCAGTTTGAGCGCGAGAGAGAGAGCTTTTGGTTCGGTTCCAAGCCACAAAACATACTGCCGTTTTTATATTGGTGCCGGGATGGTAGTGATGGTTTCTGTGAATTGGGGCGCCCCACGTTTCGCCAATCCCAGCAGCATTGGTGACTTTTTTCAATTCCTAGTTACGTGTTTGTTTTTGTCTATTTCCCCACGATTTTTATTTCGGTCGCGCGATCGGCGTCACGAAGAAGAAGAATCCATTCGCATCTCTAGCGTGCACTGTTGGCTACGTACGGTGTGAAATAAGTTCTGCATGCGTAGATGCAAAGCGGTCGTGACCCTTGGTGTGTGAGAATGGCCCGCGGAGACGAATATATCAGAGCTACCGCTAAGAATCCCTTCAAATGACCTGTTACCGCACAGTAGGGGGCAGCACTTTCCCACCTGTTCCACCGCATGACAATCAAACCGACGTTTGAATTCTCACGGCTGGACCTCAGATTGATTAAGTGCACAAACAACGTTCATGCGAGGGTTTCCCTGCGGGGTCATTGGCGATCGCCCTGACGCTCTCGACTCGCTACATCTTGAAGAACCCCCCCCGGTTTAATCCCAGGTGGCCGAAACCTGGGTTCGATCCCAGGTCCTGTGCGGTGCCGGCTCGGAACGCGACTTTTGAGCCACCCTGGTGTGACCTCTTCCGTGTTTGTGTGGCGTGCTGGGGTCACGCTCGCCCACTCGCCCGTGGGAGTGGCTCGTCTGGCATTGATTCGTGAATTCACTGGCCCCCCCCCCCCGTCTCTCTCGGTCACTTTGCGTGGCCCTCAGAACGTTCCTCGCCACTCCTCCCGTTCGTGCGCGATTGCCCCCCCCCCCCACTCCTATTGTTCTACCCCCCCCCCAGTCCTCGTGCTCTACCCCCCCCCCCACTCCCCCCCCCCCACTCCCCCCCCCACTCCTCGTGCTCTACCCCCCCCCCCCCCCCGCTCCTCCCGACACTAAACTGGACTGTGGGCAGCAGCAGCGTGTGTGGAACTTGTGCGGTGCACGAGGAGCGAGTCCGACGGCTCTGCCCTCGATTCGTAATTCGCCTTTTTCTTGCTTTGTTCCTCGCCAACGAATCGGTTTTTGGTGACGTGGTTTTATCACAATGGAGGTGTGTCGGTGTGCGCACCGCATGTACACAGTGAATGTATGCGTATGCGCGTGTCTTTGTGTGATTCGCGGCGTGCGCACGGTAAATGTTTTTCCCGGGGTTGTACGTGGGGTGTGTGTACAGTCTGGCATCCTGGGTGTGGAGTGTGTGTACGTAGTGTGTGTATGTGGTTGTGTATGCACAGTTTGTGTTCAGGGGACGGGTGTATTTAATGAACCTGGATACCTATGCAAATCGTAATTCGCAATAATAAGGTGCCTTCATCAGCTGCCCGGCGGCTTCCACAGTGATAATTCGACACGTGACGCCCAATTCCTCATCGCGTGACATCATCGCATTCGGGTCGTACCACGTGGCGACTTTTGGGCCTTACCTGTGAAAAAAAAAATGTGTTTAATAGTTACGTACAATTATTTAGTTTCGTTCCACGCGCCCCCGTAGCTTTTCCGGAAAAACGAAACGTCGCGACGCCGCGCCGAACCAACGCGTGGCACATCCCACGAACGCGTCGTGGCCACAACCGCGGCCAAGACGCCGGCACGACGTGCGAGCGACGACTCATTCCCCCACCGCCGTCTCGTTCTCAGGCGACTTCCTGACTCTGCTCGAGCCGATGAACAACATCACAAGCTCGCTGGGCCACACCGCCATCCTCAACTGCCGCGTGGCGGGCCAGCCGGCGCCCACCTTCCGCTGGCTCAAGAACGACGCGCCGGTGCTGCAGGAACCGCGCCGGGTGACCGTGCGCCGAACGCCGTTCGGCTCGCGCCTGCGCATCCAGAACCTGCATACGACCGACACGGGCTACTTCCAGTGTGTGGCGACGAGCGGCCCGCGCTCCGTCTCCTCCATGGGCATCCTCTACGTCAAGTTCGGTGAGCCCGCCGGCGTTTGTCGTCGTTCGCGAGGGTTTGGGGTTGTTGGTGTTTGGGTCGCGCTCGCATTGCTCGCTTTGAGACGGCGTCCCCCGCCGCTGGTACTGTAAATAAATCGAACTGGCTTGCCCGGTCGGTGGCAAGCAACCGCGAGCATGAGAGGACTGGGCGAGGTGGGTGAGCGGGGCGGGCCGTCTTCGTCCGATGAAAGCACCCGTGCCGCGCTCCGTGTTTTCGAGTCTTCTTTGACAGCCGAGGAGCCAGTCTGTCATCGTGTTTTTGGCCGTGACCGTCGGACCCAACGCGGAGAGTGGGGGGTGTGGAGGGGGTGGCAGTGGGGGGGGGGTGGAGGTTGAGGGTGGAGGTCGGGCAGTGGGAGTTGCAATTGCGGTAGGGGGTTGAGTGGAGAAGTTTGGAAACTTTTCGCCAGTAAATATTTGAGCGAGTGCGTAATAACGATGGCTGTTGTGCGTAGAGCCAATTCCCCTTGTAGCGTGCCTCTTATTATTATTATAATGTTTCAACTGCGCCCTCTCGTCGTTCGCCGACTCTCGCCCGCCGTGGCTCCACCGCCGTCCGTGGCCGTTAAGATGCCTCCTCGGAGCCGTTCTCTTCCCGTCGGCTTAGGAAAAAATAATAACTCTTTTTTATTGGTACGCTTTGGAGAAAGGGAAAAATTCGAACTTTGGACAACAAAACCATTGCTTTTTTTGGTGCTGTCACATGGCACGGTGGAGTCTGTTGCACGTGCTTCATGTTATTGTTTGTTTTTTATTGATCGATCGATTGTCAGACGCCCTCCGTCGTACTACCGAGCGCCAGAAACTCGCGGCGGAGTTGATTTGGCCGAGGTTCGATGCGGTGTCACCGCCACAGAGAAAGCCGGACGCTGGCCGCGCCGAGGTTGCGTCTAGATGCACGAACGCTTTCACCGGCCCCACAGCCTCCCCCCTTCCCTCCCTTCCCTTCTACGGTCGGAAAAAAACACTTTGGAGTTTCCTCATTTATCAAACGTAACGGACGGGAATGGTGGCAAAAGTAAAGGCGAGGCACAGCCCGTTTTGCATCTTTATCGGACGGGTACACAACAACAACAAATATTAAACAACAATAATGATAACGTCAAGGAGGAATAAACGCGACTTCCAACGGCACGCGCACGCACATTTCGCGAATGGGACGCGGTGTGCGGCGGAGACCTCCTGAGGCCGAGGATCCCCGAGTCCCCCGTGCGCCTGGACGCAAGCGAGGAGCTGTTAATCGCAGCAGCAGGAGGAGGAGGAGGAAGCAACGTTGGGGGTCCCTGTAGTTGCCGACCCGGACGGGCGATGGATCGCCTTGTTGTGACGCCGCGGATGTTGCTATCCAAACGGATTCCTCAACAACATTCCCAACCTAAGCAGAGAGAGGAGCGAGCGAGAGGTGATGGGAAGATGTTTCATCACCTAACTGCTCGGCGTTAGGTGATGCCAAAAACCTTCTGTTTATAATCGGAGCGAGGGCCGCACGGCCGACCCCAACGAGAGACGATCGCGGTCAAATTCGTGAAATCTCCACAACGACACCCAGTGCGGATGCCTCCCCCCTAGCAACGCAGCTTTTTAGGAATCTCGTACTGCTGTGAGCACACAGAATAATTGGTGTTGGGAGCGGGGTACCTAATGAAACAGCATAAACACCGTTCTCTCTCCACCACCACCCCGACGCGCTGCTCTGCCAGAGCTTCAAATGGACCGGGGAGGGGGGGGGGGTACACGCGACGCCGACATCACGGTCGGATTAAAACTGTGGAAATGCAGTCAAAACATTCTCGATGTAAACGGTGCGCGAGCCACTCTGCCGTGTCGCGATGGCTGCTCACGCGCGGGGGCGGGGCCTGTTTGTCACCCAGCTGATTGCGGCACCCTCTCGCGCGAGCAGAGTCGTGGTCATTTTAAAATCCTTTATATTAAGTTCACTTGCTTGCTTGCGCGCTTACGACCGTGCAAATCTTTCGGTCGTTTTTTAACCCACTTCCCGTGATCCAATCGAGCTGACATTTTGCACACAGACTCGTTGTGCGTGACAATTAATTTTTGTGACAAAATTTTTTCCAAAATTTTACACTGTTTAGGGAAAAAAATGTAAATATTTAATTACCAATTGCTTAATGGTGGCAGACAATCATCTGACCCATAGGTGGCAGCCATCTCAAGCCAGAGGACGAGAGGACTCTAGCCGCCCCGATGCCACGCATATAACGGATTTATAGTGAAAAACTTTGTTTTTACGGGTTTATTTTTACGATTGGACCCCACTGATTGTTGTCGCTCATTTCGTCTCGTTACCTGCCCCCCCCCCCCTTCCCACAGGACCGGTACCGACCCCCAGCTCTGGCAAGGATGGACAGTGAGTATCCGCTGCACGCACGCACGTGATCGCAAACTCGACGGAGGGGACGCTGCTTGCTTCTTGCTTCCGCGAAGCCCAGGGGACCTTCGGACTCGCAGGGCCCCACGGCCATTATAACAACGCGCTATTTAAAAAATTAACATTCCGAGGGTGAACAAAAAAGAAACTCGCAGATGGATGGGTTTTGGACGGCGAGTCCGATTCACGTTGCGCCGAATCGCAGGAGACACACTCCCTTCCACCCCCCCCCCCCCTTTTGGCGAGCGGGCGGACGAACATGCCTCCATGTATAATTGTTAGTTTTTTTTTTTTTGCCGAAATAGCAACAACGTTTTGCACATTTCGCGATTGGCCCGGCCCCCCCCCCCCCCCCATTGTTAGTTGCACGTGGATGAGAGAGGGCGAGCGCGCGTCTGCTTATTTGGATAGCTTCATTTAATACCGCCCGCCCGTCCCTGCGCAATTACGTCCGAGCTTATTCCGCCGCGCTGCGTGTCACGTGTCCATGCGGCTCACGTGCGTGGCCGGTGGCGGGTAGAAGGCGCAGCCCCGCAATGTTGCCGCTTGCTCACGCGCCCGCCGCTGGCTAAGGCCGTTGTCTTTTGGGGGAGCGCCGTTTAGGCACGGCAACGCCGGTCCGTCGCGTCCGTTAGCGAACCTCGAGCCAAGGCCGGCGATGTTTCGCAGAAACCCTTTAATTATAACTTCGCCAAAGCTCTCGTCATTTTTCCCTCTTCCCCCCCCCCCCCCCACCACTCCACTGTGTACAGCGCCGCTCCTTGGAGAATTCCAATTCCAGTAAATGTGTACCGTGCTTAATTTCTTAATTTCCTCGTTTTCTACGAAAATAAACATCTCTGCAATTACGGGATGGGGGCGGCGACTGCGGCGGTGGCATTGCTTTATATTAGCAGTTGCTGTTGGCTCACGCTCGGACGACAAAGGCGGGCGGCAAAGTCCCAAGGCGGAATTCCTAGCAGACAGCGGTGGGAGTAGTGACGGGTGGCATCTCCTCCGTGCCCCGCATGTAACGGGGCATGGGTGGCAACCTCTACATGAACAGGCACTGTCGCCTTCCAGCATAGGGGGACAGTGTCATGATTATGGATGGACACGCTTGGAGGCAGCGGGGTGATCGTTGGTGTCGTCCAGTCTTCAGCTTCGAGGCCGGCTCCAGAACATTTTTTCAATTCTCATTCTTGACGTTGGCCATGCACTCAAAACCCCCCGGCATCCTGGGTTCGATTCCCGCTCACGGCCAACATCGGCGACGAATATCTGAACCGGTTCCCGAGCCTCCACTAGTGCGACTCTCCCTCCAATGAGTACCTGGTGCGGTGTGTAACCATCAGCACTGGCGCGGTGCTGGCCACCGATCTCCTCATGTGCCGTGTGGCGGCCTTCATAGGTGCTGCTCGCTACGAACGGCAACTTGCCCCAACAGTCTGCCGGAGGCTTTACGGGGGGGGGGGGGATCTTTGTGTGCGTGTCGTGTGCGTCACAGCGATGACGATGACGACGAAGGATTTTGTCAGCCGTACCGCGGCATTGCGTGCGCCCGCTTCATCGGAAACAGCACGATCTACGTGGACTCCCTGCAGCAGCAGGGCGAGATCGAGAACCAGATCACCGGTGAGTGGGCCTCGTCATCGTTATCATTGTCATCGCCACCATCATCATCATCGGCGATAATAATTATCTATCCACTGCAGGTGGGAGATTGAGAGCTGCCAGGTTTGTAGTGCAGGACCTCGTAAGGTGTCTATCCCGTCTTGTCACCTGCCCCCACAACCCCCTCTCTCACCTGCCGGGTGAAGGCTTCTTCCGTACTAAGCCATCGCCATCTCTCGCGGTCACGTGGCGCCACGCTGAATCCAGCTCCTGCACGCGCACGAGTCGATCCGTCTCCACGGGGCACGTTCTCTCGGGTGCCATTCCCTCCTGTGCGCGATCCCTCCTTTGGCCGACCCCGTCGCTCCATCTCCACAGGGCGCGCGCACCTCCTGTCGTGCGCGATCCTCCCTCCGCTTGGCTGCCACTCCGCCGTGTGCGTCTCGACCGCCGGCCACGTGATGGCCGTGATGCGACGTGGTCCCAACCCCCACACAACCCCCCACCCGCCCCGCTCACTTTTCTCAACAGTCCCTTAACCCAGCGCGTGGAGAACTGCGCAGGTGCTTGTGCTGCTCGGGTTCTGCGACACGATGAGGTTGGGTGCAGTCAGGGCGGTTGGGTCATTTACCCCCCCCCTCCTCCTCCCCCCTCCAGTAAAAAACAAAAGGCTTAGACGACGACGAGGAGGAGGGTGGCATCAAAGGAGCCGTCATCGCGCCGGCCGTGTGGCCTGGGGACCCGGGGGTGGAGCTGTTGCGGAGGCTGACCACAATTAAAAGCTACTTAACATATTTGGATATTTATTTACACACAGCACCCACCCAAAGGGGCTTTCCCTCTCCCCGTGTGCGGGATTGTGTGTGTGTGTGCGCGTACGTGGCTTCGTGTGTGGGAGAGATGCGTGTGCGTACGAGCGTGCCCGCGTGTACACACGTGAGCCGGCGCGTATCTGCATATCGGTGTGTTACTGTTGACGTTCACGAGTGCTTTTGCATGCGTGTTGTGTGCGGGTGTGTCTGTGTATATGCACGAGCGCAAGTGTGAGGTGTTGTGGGGAGCGGGAGTGTAAGCGGTTAGGGCGCTGCGCTACGAACCCGGCTCACGGCCAACACCGGTGACATTTATCTGAGCCAGTCCTGGGCCTCCCCGAGGTCGACTCAGCCTCAAATGAGTACTTGGTGCTGTGTGTATACATTGTCACTAGAGAGACAAAGGCGGCCGGGCGTGGTGCTGGCCACCCACCCCCTCATGTGCCGTTCTGGCCTTCGTAGGTGCTCGCTAACAGCACTTGCCCCGACAGTCTGTTTAAGGCTATACGGGGGAACTTTGTCTTTGTGTGTACTTGTGCGCCGTGCCGGCCTTCTTCATCGGTGCTCGCTAACACCACCTGCCCCAAACAGCCTGTCAAGGATATATGGGGGATCATTGCCTCGTGTGTGTGTGTGTGCGTGTGGGAGCCTCCTCACGTCTGCTGCGAGTGGTTTCTGGAGGACGTTGCCGCGTATCCCCTGACACTCGGCGGTCATTCTGCGTTGCATTAATTTTATTGGCCCGGGTTTACGTTTTTTTTGTTTTGTTTAAACGAGAACGCGAGGGGAGCGGCAGAGCAGCTGCATTAATTTGGGGGCTCCCAGAGCAGTAAACATACACGACCTCCTGCCCTTCCCGTGGTGTACATTAATAAATGCTGGCTGCGCTAGAATCCCACATTCTTAAAACATTAAAATCATTACATGCGCGCGCGCGCGTGTGTGTGTGCGTGTCACACAGTAGCATAATCATATGTCTGTACAGGCCTTTGGCAACCCCCTCTCCTCCGTGCTTCGGATGTCACTCTCGCCACTGATGTGAGCTGTGGTTGGAAATATAAATTTGGGGTCACCGGATTTACAGCGCAGCGCAAAATTGCCGTTGGGCAATCGCTCCACCTCCTACGGTTTCACGCATTTAACAACGGGACGGGGTTGTGAAGGCGCAGCCCTGCAATTGCCTGCCCCATTGCAATGCTGGCGGAAGGGGCCTGGTCGAAAGGGCGCTCCGGAGTGGTGTTTGGGTCTATTCTGCTGCTGTGACCACAAAGTCACAGAGGAGGTGGCACGATGTTTTGGCCCCTCTCTCTTCCGCGCTAACTAGCCGTCTTGGTGAGCGGTTGGGATTTTCACGTGCTTTACCCCACCACACGTGTGTTTACTGCCCATTACAGACGAACTGCGGGGGCATCCGTGTTTATGCTGCTAGATGGCCAGAGACAGACAGGCAGGCAGGCAGGGGGAATTCAAGAAACTTTCACCCATGTTTCAAGTGCCGAGCCAGGAGATTGAATCTGGAAACCGCAGGCAAGTGAAAATTGCAGCCAGAGGCGGTGCCAACAAAATTGCCTAACCTCTCTCCCTTCCTGTGTTGGGATTAAACGGACGGCTTGGTGATGCTGCGTCAGAGGTCGAAAACGGGTTTTGATTCCTTACCCGTACCCGTACCCGGCTGCACCAGGGTCGCAAATGGGTACCCGTACCCGTACCCGGCTGGGTTACGGGTACCCGTTCCCTACCCGTACCCTACCCGAAATGAGTGACACCAGTAACTCACGGCCTACCCGTACCCGTACCCGGCCGCACCAGGGTCGCAAACGGCTACCCGTACCTGTACCCGGCTGGGTACGGGTAGCCGGGTATCGGGTAGGGTACGGGTATCGGGTACCCGGTTGCGACCTCTGTGCTGCGTTGGCGGTGTTGCACGACTGACGAAAAAATCGCAACGCCTTCGTCAAAAGCGATGGCTTGCAAAGAGAGAGAGCGGCGGATAGGCGACAATCCGAGCAAAGGTGCCCTTGGTCGGGAGGAGAAAAAAAACCCGGAATTCCCGAAAACCTGCGAGGCGGAGGGGGATGTAACGAACAAGGTGTTGCGCGCCGCCAAAAAACACCACCCGAGCGCTTGCGAGGACGATCGCTGTGCTTGTCAAAAGGGCAGTGGTTCTGCTGATGCCAAATCAGGCTTTGTCCACAGCTTGATGTCCCGGTTTAACTGCAGGGACCATCTTTTTATTTTCTGACGTCGGGCGCGGGTCAAAGCCACCGCAAATTAAGGGAGAGGGAGCGCTTTGTCCATAAGAGGTTTTTTGGGTTAGATCGCGTGAAGATGAATGTCGTTAAACCCGCCACCGCCCAACACAGCCAATCGTCCAAGGGGTTTGTCACGTAAATCAAGCGTGCCAAGTCGTTACGAGTAAGGAACATCGGTGTGCTCGGAGACCCACAATTCGAGCACGGCGTCTCGCCAGTAACTACAACCAGCATCATCGGGCGACAAGCCAGCGTCGTGGAGAATAAATCCGCCCTGTCTCCCCGGTCTTAGAGCCGACGTGGTATAAAAAGGAGGGGGGGGCGGGAGGGAGGGGGAGCGCCTTTTGATATTACCAGCCATGTTGCGCTTCCCCGCCATTCTTTGCGGTGGGCGCGCGACCACCCGGCGGTGCGAACCGACATTGGGTCGCCGCCGAGACTCATGGGGGCGAGCGCTCGCGCCCATCCGAGCGGAGGACGAAAAACAAGCCCCCCGCGTGCTTTTGCGCTCGCCAAATGTTTACTTTTGTAGGCCGAGCCGCAAAAGCACGCTCTCTTCCACCCCCCCCCCCCTCCACCTTCCCAGGTTAGGCCAAAAACCTCCGGACACAGCCAGATGGCACACGACATTGAGTCCTAGACAATCCCACTCTTTGATTCATTTTTATTACAGGCCAGACTGGTTTCAGTCTCGTCGCCAATGCTTTCGAGAGAAGCCGCCACAAGAGAGGGTATTTGGCCTACTCTTCCACAGTTTACCAGATGCCTTGGAAGAGGTGGGAGTTGCCCACACATTACCTCACCCACACATTCCTCCCCCTCCCGATCCCACTCAAAGAGACGGGAGGGGTGGATTTAATACATTTTCACCATTTTCTGTGTTTGCTGTGCTTTCCATTTAACTCGGTCATCATTGCTCTTATCGTTTTTGTGACCCATGTCACTCTTGCATACGAGACTCATCCTGGTTCCTTGTGCCCTCACCCGGTTTAAACTTCATTCGACTTGCATTTTAGTTGTTTTCTGCATCGCGCCCCCCGCTCCCTCCCCCATCCCGCGCAGCGGCGCTGACGATGATCGGCACGGCGACGCAGCTCTCGGACCGCTGCTCACGCTTCGCTATCCCGTCGCTGTGCCACTACGCGTTCCCGTCGTGCGACGAGCGCTCGCCCGTGCCGCGACCCCGCGACCTCTGCCGCGACGAGTGCGAGGCGCTGGAGACGGACCTGTGCCTCGCCGAGTACGCGGTCGCTCGCTCCTCACACATCCTGCTCATGGCGCTGCGGCTGCCCAACTGCGACGAACTGCCGCCCACCGGCACGCCCGAGGCGGCCAACTGCGTGCGCGTGGGCATCCCCGCGGCGAAACCCATTGACCGAGGTGGGTGGGTGGGATGGTGGGATATGGTGGGACGGTGGGATAGGGTGGGACGGTGGGATAGGGTGGGACGGTGGGATAGGGTGGGACGGTGGGATAGGGTGGGATAGGGTGGGACGGTGGGATAGGGTGGGACGGGAGGGGTCACGGGGTGAATTGAAACAGGGGAGATATTTGTATTTTTTTTTCTTCGAAAAGACACGATATCAAGGAAAGAATGATGAGATACTGCAAGAGAATTTTGATATTCCTGTTACTGCTCATCTCCCTGCGGCTCTTAAGTGCATTACAATTGTGCCGCTTGTTTTTTAGTTTCGCTGGATAACGAAAACCCTCTCTGCAGCTCGCACGCAGGTGCCGATGAAACAGCGATGCTCATGGATAGTGGGCCGGAGAAGTAAGGGCCACTAGATGTCCGTCCCTGCATCCGGAACTTTGACCCTAATGGAAATTTCTTTGAGTTGAGATGAACTAAGCGACCAAGTGGAAGGTGGCATGGACTAGAAAAACTATTTTTGATCAAAGTAAAAAAGCTTACAATTTTACCACATGGTGAACAAAGCCGGTGAGGAGGGGAGGGAGCGGGCTAGGCGGGCGGACAGGTGGGCAGAGTGGTCGCTATTCAATGAATTAACGTTGAGGTCGCTCAGGCCGCGACCGTCCTTGCAACCTCTAGGCCGCCGCGTAACCCCGAGCCTGTCGCCTCCCGCCGGGCAGACCACAAGTGCTTCAACGCCAGCGGCGTGGAGTACCGCGGCACGGCGAGCGTGACACGCTCGGGCCACCAGTGCCAGCCGTGGAGCTCGCACTACCCGCACGCCCACGCGCTGCTGCCGGCGCGCCACCCCGAGCTGGCGGGAGGCCACGCGTACTGCCGCAACCCCGGGGCCGAGCGCGAGGCGCCCTGGTGCTTCACGCTGGACGAGTCGGTGCGCGCCGAGGTGTGCGACGTGCCGGCCTGCTGTGAGTGGCCGCGACGCACGCGCACGCATGCACACACGCACGCACGCGCACGCACGCACGCACACACGCGCAGACAAAGATCCCACCGAAGCCCTCTCGTCGTGGCCAGGAGACCTCGACATTTGCATCGAGCTCCTGCCATCATGCGCAAGTGTAGAACACGCAAAGACGCACACGCAAAGATCAACACCCCCTTTCCCTATGGCTTGAACAGACTGTTGGGGCGAGTGCTGTTTGTGAGCGTCTATGAAGGCCGGAACGGCACACCAGGGGGTGGGTGTCTAGCACCACGCCCGGTCGCCTTTGTCTCCCTAGTGGCGATGTTTACACACCACACCAGGTACTCATTTGAGGCTGATTCAACCTATGGGAGGCCCAGGACCGGTTCAAATAATCATCACTGGTGTTGGCCATGTAGCGCAGTGCACCAACCACTATACGACCGCACGCACGCACACACATGCGCGCATGCTAGGCATGAGTTCCTGGCTTTTTATGGGTTCAGCAGGAAATGTTTAAAAGTCGTAGGGTCTAGATGTAGCATTGAGTGACCAGCATGAAGACACATTCAATAAGTATCATGTCTATCTAAAAAAAGAGATAGAAAAATGTTCTTAAATATGCGAAGATCTCAAATGTGTAAACCTGAAACTTATACCTTTTGTGCACACACACATACAAGTATAAAGCTCCCTGGTATAGCAAGTTTTGTTTGAGAACACCTATGAAGGCTGCCACAGCATACGACGGCATGGGTGGCAAGCGGCACAAATGCACACACTATAAAACGCATACATGGGAGACCGGGTACGGCTAGGGTACGGGTACGGCCGGGTACGGGTACAGGTACCCGTTTGTGACCCTGGTGCGGCCGGGTACGGGTAAGGAATCAAAACCCGTTTGCGACCTCTGGTACACGTACGTCACAAAGCATCGCGGCAGCAGCCACAACAGCGGCTGCCCGGCCCCCGCAGAGGAGCGGTATCACGCGCACAGCCACCGGAGTCAAGGTCGTTGATCTCATTTGTCGTCCCATTCTTCTCGGCAGGTTGACCCTGAAGCCGAGAGCCCTGACCCGCTGCCCCCCGCCCCCCCCACTGCCTCCCTTTTAAGGAGCTTCAATTATTCACTGTTTAAGCAGAAACGTTGCCGACGTGCTTGCGCGCGCAGTCTCTATCCTCCGCCGAACAAACGGGCTCCTGTTTCAGGCGGAGATTCCACCACGGCGTCACACAGGATCACCACCTCCGTTTTGCGCGCTAGGCCGCGGGATGATTTCATTTGCTCATGAATGAGCATTCCCCCACAATTTTTTCCCGGGGTCGCAGGGGCGCCCTCCGTTGTCGCGTTATGAAGCGCGGAGATTTTAATTCGGGAGCTCGTCGCCAGCGAGCAAGCGCGCACAAGCGTGTGTTACAAAGCATGGTTCTTGTTGCCCCTCCCCCTTTTCTGCACCTCTCATTAGCGTGGTTGGCTACATACGGTGCAAAAGAAGTTCAACGTACGTACACGCATGGCTCTGACGGTGGGGTATGCGCAGAACCGTTTCGGATATCGCTCGCAACTGATGATAACCGTGGCCGGGAATTGAACTCGGGTTGTCTGCCGGATTGGTAACGCACGCGGTGCATTAGCCACGCCGCGGCTGCCGCCAACCAAAGGATATCAAAAGTCTCCGATTTTTTCCGCCCGACTTTCTACTCGGGCTGTCGGGACGCTGCCACGGCGGCGGTGTGACATTCGGCCACCACACCGGACTTGCAATCCAGAGGTCGCCGGTTCGACTCCATCTCACGGCGCGCGCGACCGTTGAAACAGCGGGGACGAGTTTCTTAAATTCCCCCCCCCCCAACCTCGCCGATCACCTCTGTCCATCCCCAGTGGTGTAAATGGTCGCATCCACGGTTAGTCGTGCGGTGGGGGTGGGCTAAGGTCTGGCGACTACCACCTCCTTCGTAGACACCTGTCCAGTGCGGACAGAGTAGGCCGCCAAATACCGTCTCCTGGAGGGGCTCGCCAAAAGCACCCTCTAATGAAGGCCCTTCGGCCGGGGCAATGGCGCGAGCGAGCGGATGCAGGGCTGCACCTTTGCTTTTGACAAGGAGCGAGGGTTGGGGGGGGGGCTTCCACCGGGCATGCTCGGTCACCGTGGCCCTCATAAGCTCGCTCCGCCCGCCCAGAGCCCAACCACCGCTGCATCCCAAATTCCGCTCTCTGTTCGTGGGGGGGGGGGCGGCGTTGGGGGGGGGGTGATACAAGGTTCCAGGCAGCAGAGTGGAGGAGGTCGCTTGCCTCACGTTCGACCCTCTCAACGGTACATTTGAGGCGAGCTCGCGGCCACCCGCACCGCCACGCCGCCCCACGCCCATCTCTCTCCTCTCTCCATCCCAGCTCCTCCCCCCTCCCGTCACTCTCAATCTGGGCTCCTCCCCCGCCCCCCTCCTGTCAATCTCCTCGTTCTGCACATGAATCACCCCCCCCCCCCCCCCACAAGACACAGCGCCGAACCGAGGGAGGGGCGGAATTAGGGGGGAGGAGGGGCAGAGGGAAGGGGGGGGGGGCTCGCAAGGGCAGCTACAGGAGAGATGGCGGTGAGGAGGGATGGATAGAGAGACACCAGAGAAGGGTGGGTAAGGAGGAAGAGTGTTCGGAGGTGGGGGGGGGGGAGTTGTGACGGGGGGGGGAGTGGGGTGGAGGGGGGCAGGTCACATCGAAAACCCAGTGCAGCTGTGGGCTCAGTCTGCTGCCCGCCCGGCGTTTGACGGATGACCTCTCCCGATGAGGGCTGACACGCCGGCCCCGGTCGGAAATTCCAGCCGCCCAGACACAGCCGGGGAAGAATGAGAGAGAGAGAGAGAGACAAGAAAGACTGCACAAGTTTAAATTTACGTGCACCTCAATATTAAGTGTTGTCACAGCATGGGCGCGGGGTCTGGTTTTTTGCACTGGCGCTCACATTTTCATGATCCCCCCCCCCCCCCCCCCCCCACCGTGCCCAGATCTTCCAGGTTCGGTTCAAAAGCGAGGGGAAAGGAATCCGCGCTCCGCCGCTGCTCGGAGCCAAGCGCGTGTTTTTGATCCCCCCCCCCGCCCCCTTCCCCCTTTGTTTCCCACCAACGTGCAGCAGAGAGTGGGGGTCCTGCACTGGCCCCAAGAGGGTGCTCCCCCCCCCTGCCCCCCGCCGTCCAGGTTCACCTGGGGGGCCCCGTCGGTGGCGAGTATCTCGACCGGTCCTGGGACTCGACGAGAGCGACCCGGCCTTAAATGGGCAGTGGGGCCTTGTTGTAAAACATCGGACTTGGGGAGACGAAGGCAGCTGGGTGCGGGGCCGGTCACACACCACCCCGGCCCCTCCTGTGCCATGCCGGCCTTCATAGGCGCTTTCGCCAACAGCGCTTTCGCCAACGGCGTGTGCAGGCTGTCGGGGGGGAACTGCTTTATCTTTGTCTACACAAGGCCGGGCGGTAGAGAAAGTGTGAGGAGCTGTACAATGGGAAGTTCTGCTGCTGGTGGTGGTGATGGTGTTGATAGTGGTGGTGGTGATGCTGCTGTTGCTGCTGGTGGTGCTGCTGTTGCTGCTGGTGGTGGTGGTGCTGGTGCTGCTGGTGGTGCTGGTGGTGGTGGTGCTGGTGGTGGTGCTGCTGCTGTTGCAGAGGCCGAGGCAGCTTCTGCTGGTGCTGGTAGCCGTTGTGGTGCTGCTGCTGCTGCTGCTACTACTGCGGCAAGAGGTCAAATGAATGGAGGCTCCGGGTTTATGAATCGGCGCTCTCGCGGCCGCCACTAATGAGCAACACGTGCCCCCGCCGGCGGCGCAAGCGACGCCGGCAATTTTCTGTGGGGAAAGAAAAAAAAAGTCGACTCGGTGGTGAATGGCGGCCGCGCGTCGCCGTCGTCGTCACGGTTGTTGTTGTTGTCGTCGCTGTTGTTGTTGTCATCGCTGTTGTTGTTGTTGTCGTCGCTGTTGTTGTTGTTGTCGTCGCTGTTGTTGTTGTTGTCGTTGCTGTTGTTGTTGTCGCTGTTGTCATCATCGTTGTCGTCGTTGTTGTTGTCGTCATCATCCTCATCGTCGCTGTTGTCATCATCGTTGTCATCGCTGTTGTCGCCGTCGTGGTCGTCACTGTTGTCGCTACTCTGTGTGAGCAGGGGTGACGCAGCCGGTGTGCGCGCTGTGCACTACAAACCGTGAGATCTGAGTTCAATTCCCGGCCTCCGCTTGACATCATCAGGGGAGTGCTGTATCAGAACCCGGCACGGGGGCCCTCCCTTAAGTATCCTCGGCTGTAAATGAGTGCGTGGCGCAGGGCTGCATTCAGGCGGCAGGAATTTTTTTTGCACCGAGACCTGGGACCGGTATGCACACGTACGTTGACCTTCTTTCCCACCGTACGTAGCCAACCGTGCCAACCAGAGGTGCGCTATTGCTGTGTTCGACTTCATCGCAGGAGACTGTACAGTACTAATAGGCCTCGGCTGACCGGGAAGTACATGGAGTCGAGTCCTCGGCACGGGTTGGGGGGGGAATCCACAAGCGGGAACAGCGACCCGCGGTAGTGACGGTGGCTGCTGCTGTCGTGTGTGTGCGCGCAGCTCCGCGCGAGAACAACAAGATGGAGATCGTGTACATCCTCATCCCCAGCCTGGCCGTGCCGGCGCTGGTCGCGCTGCTCTTCTTCCTCGTCTGCGTCTGCCGCAACCAGCGCAAGTCGTCGGCGGCGTCGCCCCGCTCGCAGGCCAAGCCGGTGGCGCGCCACGACATGGAGCTGTCGCTGCTCACGCCGCACAAGCAGGTGAGGGAGGCCGGGCGGTTGCCTTCGCGGGACTCGCCTGGCTCCGCGCGCGCTCCGGCGGAGGTGCCGTGGTGCCGCGGTGTTGGCAGGAAATAAGGAACCAGTGGACCCCCGTGGTGCTCGTGGCCGGGAGAACGGTCTCTCCCGGCGGCTGCCGCAGCGGGGAGAGTACAAAAACAGATGTTGGGCGAAACGATCGGCATCGGCGCATAAAATACACCTCCGGCATTTAATTACACTCGCGGTCCCACTCTTACCACTTCGATTTACATGCCAGGTGCGTGCGTGTGCGTTTGCGAGCTCGTATGTGGAGTTTCGCAAGACGCTTTGAAGCGTCGAGCCGGCGTCGAGCCAGCGTCGAGGAGAGGCCTGCTCTGCTCCTCGCTCGTTCGCCCACTCGAAGGGCCCCCCCCCAACCCCCTGCTTTGCGAGCATCCCCCACGCACCCTCCCCCTGCGCACGAGGGTGCCGCTCGCGGAATTCCCGGCGCTGCTCTCCCGCGTGCCGTCACCTCCTCGCCCGCTCCTCGCGAACGCACGATCTTCGCGCTTGCTCGCTGCGACGTGTCCTGCGATAGACGATGGAGATTACTCTCCTGCCACCGTCGCCCTGCGATGAATAAGGGCCACTGCACAGAACATCGCCTGCCGTGCGTCGGTGTTTTCTCCCACGGTGTGCGGAGTTATTGGCCCTCGTGAGTTTTCGCGGTCCACACCTTGCGCGCTGCTGCCAACACATTGGCGCGAAAATGTTTCGCTGCGGCGCGTGGATCGGAGGCGGAGAAAGTGGCACGAGGCCTGTGAAGGAGGAGTCGCGAGCGGGGAACTAAACTCCACAGCAGGGAGACGAGCACGAGGCCGAGTGATCGTGCCGAGTTGGGGGACACCGGCACTCCGGCAAAAGTCGCTAGCGGGGACGAGCCTCGTATCATGGGGGGGAGGGGGGGGGGGCCTCTCGCGCGAGCACCCGGCACGGAGATGGAGCGAAATCGTCTGCTCCTGTACAGGAGCTCGATGGGTTGCTGTGTCACGCGCATTCGTGATGGGATGGCGACATCCCACGTGGCGGCGAGCCATGGTCCAGCACCTCTCCCTCCACGTTACTCTCCGCCTCGTGCTACTTCCACGTGGAGGGGGTCGGCTGAGAGCGTCGGCTGAGAGCGTCTTTGGCAGACCGTCATCCAGCAGTGGATGGGTTATGGCTACCGATGACGGCGAGAATGTGTTGGGGCTGCGGGCACCCGCGAAGGGGGGGGGAGGGCGGGGTCGGCGCTCATTCTCGAGAACGTTTAGCCGCGCGCCCGGGAGGTCGACACGCTAACGGATGTTTACGCGCACGCACGCGCGTGTCTGCGCACGTTTGTCCCGGCGGCCCGGCCACTCGGTCAGGCTTCCACTCGGGGATTTATGGGCGCCCGATTTACACGAAAGTCGTCCCTGTGTTGTGACGGAGCTCGGGTTCTGGCTTAAACACCCTCCTCCTCCTCCTCCTCGGCGGGAGCAGATGGTTGCGATAAGTGGCCACGGCGACACGTGGAGGCACTTAAGGAGACGGGTGGCGGGGTCACGCGGGGTCACGCGGGGCGCCGCTTAATGGCGTGGCTGAGCATGGCTGGCCTCGCCGGGGCCGCGCCGAATCTCGCGGGGAATGGAAGAGAGAGAGAATGCGGGGGGGTCACCCCAATCCTCCTCCCCCCCCCCCCCCCACCGTTCTACTTACGCGTGCGTGACCGCATCGCAACACGCACCTGCGCGACCCACTGCACCTGCGCGATTAAAGAAAGACTTGGGCAGGAGGGGAGACCCTCCCGCGATGGAGTCCATGAGGCTCGGCGAGGGAGCGGAGGGGCGGATGGCCGCTGCGGTGCGAGACGTGGACTTGGACCAGCGTTGACCATGCAGCCGGATTGCCCCGGAGGGGGCTCGGCAAATGCGTCCGGGACCTGTTGAAGTGAATGCGACCCAGAGGGCCGTTGCGCAACCGCGCGGAGTGCCAACACACGCACACAGACGCAGAGGTGCCATCGTGTATCCAATGCGGACTGGTCGGGGTTAACTGCACAAAGGGATGGTGTGGCAAGCACCATACGGAGTGCTGATGGTTCCACACCGCACCATTTTAATTAGGAAGCAACTGGAGCTATGGGCTTTTGAATCATCTAGATCAAAAACTAATTTCTTTATAACTGCTTTTTTGTGTTTAATTGTCCTTCCCCCACACCTACCAATTAACACGTTTGGCTACGTACGGTGTGAAAGAAGTTCAACATACACACATACATAGACTCAACATGTACGCGCATACAATTAAGGCTGAGCTGACAGGTGATGCCCTAAATTGGTTCAAATCCCACTCGCACCAGAAGTAAATTATGGCTGGGAATTGAACTTAAGTTTCTGGGATTGTTCATAAAATTTGAATCCCAATCTGGGATCTGTGGTCCTTTGAGCCATTGGCCTGAACGTGGCCAACGTGGTGGGCACTGCCCCCATGGTTGACACTGCCCCCGCAGTGGGAATTGCCCTTGGTTGACATTGTCCACGATCGGGGGGGGGGGGGTAGCATGTTTCTCTCCAGGTGGTACCGAGCAGCCACCACTCCCCCCCCCCCCCCCCCCCCCCCCAGCCGGTGCAGATGCGGTGGCAGCGGCGGTGCCGGTACCTGCCCCGTTCCACAGCAGAGTCGGACCATGTCTCAGGGGAGCTCGCTTGGTTGGCTCTCTGCCTTCTGCCGCCTGCATCTCTCCCTCTCCTCCTGCCTGCGTCTCTCTCTGCCTCTCTCACCTGCTGCGGCAACTCCAGCTGCAGGTTTTCCAAAAAATGAGATTTCCAGGAACGGGCCGAAGAGAAAGAATAACACGCACGCTTCCCAGAAAGCTCCATGGAGCTGGCTCTCACGTGCGTGGATTTCTGCAGCAAAATATCAATTTCCTTTTAATGTATTTATATATATATATAGTACGTTGTTGCATGTGTAATATGTATTTATATTTTGTTCCATTGCTGTGATGGTTACCATGACCACACTCGCAAATGAAAACTCATTTCTTAAGAACGGATTTTTGTTTTAGTTTTGTTGTCCTTCCCCGCACCTCCGATCTAGCATGGTTGACTACGTATGCTGCGAAATTAGTTCAACATACATCGAGGTCACACACGTTCGATTGCATGTCCAGGTGTGGAAGTGGCAACAATGGGGGGGGCAGGTTTCCTAAAACTTCCCTCCTCCTGCTGCTGCCTCCTCGCTACCCAGCCGTGTATTTCACAGTCAATCGTCGGATTGCCTATTGCAGGGTAAAGCGTGGGTACACCTCCCACCACCTCCGCTTCCTCCGAGACGTCTGGCCGACGCGAAAGAGTCGGCCACGTCGCCTCTGAAAGATCTCCCTACGGTGCCCGTGTGCCCCTTCCGCCGACGGCGGCACGAGCGAGGAATTGCGCGGGGCTGCATCTTGACCTTCCCGCGTCGTGTTCCCTGGCTTCCTGTCGCCGCAGCTCAAGCTGCGGGAGCTGCCCCCCTCGTCGCTGCAGATCCTGGAGGAGCTCGGCGAGGTCCCCTTCGGCAAGGTCTACCGGGGGGTGCTCTACCTGCCCGGGGGGCCCTCGTCAGCTGGGGGGCCCTGCCAGCCCCCCCAGCATCCCGGAAGCTCCGCGACCGCCCCCCAGCAAGTCGCTGTTAAGACGCTGCGGGACCCGAGCGACGCGCGACTCTGGCAGGTGCGGGTCGCACAGAACGGCACGAGTGCGATGATGATGATGATGATGACGTTGATGATGATGATGGTGTAACGGTGATTGTGAAAACGATGGCGATGATGATGACGATGGTGATGACGATGGTGATGGCGACGTTGATGATGATGGTGTAACGGTGATTGTGAAAACGACGGCGATGGTGATGACGATGGTGATGACGATGGTGATGACGATGGTGATGACGATGGTGATGACGATGGTGATGACATTGACAGTGAAGTTGTCTTTGGCACTGGCACTTTACATTGGCGCTGGGATCGTTGTTATGGATTCTGTGAGTCTCTTGAATCGAGGGGGGAGGGGGGGGGCGCTTCCGGGCTCCGGCGATCCCAGCAAGCAGCGGAGGACACTGTCGTGTGCTCGCTCGCTTGTCCATTTACAAACGTCCCGAGTTTTTGTTTAGATTTTTTTTTGGGGCGATTCTTTTTACTCCTGCCCAATTTTAGGCCGATTGCACTTTCTCTTCACGAGACAGAGTACATTCGGATCTCTCGCACGGCAGTGCAACTCGTCGGGATGGAGAATGGACCACAAAAGTGGATAATCACGGATCTAACTCTGAGATAATTCCAAGTGACAGCAGTCTGGCCCGCACGCAGTAAAGGGGCAGCACTCTCCTAGCCACTCTGCTATATGAGAGTAATGTTCGTCGTATGATGGTCAAAAGCAACGTTTAATTCTCATGAGAGCGGGCAGCCAAAGTAGGTGCAGGGAAATGCTGCGTCACATCTTGTGCCCCATCGGGACAGCCCTGGCTGGACTGCAGCAGGGCATTGAAGCGGGTGGCCTCAGCCGCATTTTTCTCCCCAGCGCTGTTTACACATCGCAGCAGGTACTCGTTTGAGGCCGAGTCGACCTAGGGGAGGCCCAGGACCGGTTCGGACAATCGTCAAAGTTACATTTCGATTTAAAGCTTTCGTGACTGCAGAGATTCATCTTCTTGGTTCTTATCGGTAAAGTCACGTAGAATGGAAATAAAAAAAAAACATAATAAGATAATTCTCACGACGTTTCGTGGCCGAAACGTCGTGAGAATTATCTTATGTTTTATTTGATTATCTTATTATTTCCATTCTACGTGACTTTACCGAAAGAACCAAGAAGATGAATCGTCAAAGTTGTTTGTCCGTGACCCGGGAATCGAACCTGGGTTGCCGGGGGTTTGTGGCTCAGCGCGCTGACCGCCCGCGCTCGCTCGCAGGAGTTCCTGCACGAGGCCCGCCTGATGGGCGCGCTGGCGCACCCCAACGTGTGCGCCCTGCTGGGCGTCGTGTCGCCGCCGCCGGCGCCGCCGCAGCAGCAGCAGCAGCCGCCGTGCCTCGTGTTCGAGTATCCGGCGTGCGGGGCGGGCGGCGCCGGCGGGGCCACCGACCTGCGCGAGTTCCTCATCTCGGCGGCGACGGCGGCCGGGCGGCGCAGCAACCAGGAGGGCAGCGGCAGCGGCAGCGGCGGCGGCGGAGGAGGAGGCGGCGGCGGCGAGGTGCTCGGCTTCCCCGTGCTGGAGCGCCGCGAGCTGCTCTGCTTCTCCACGCAGGTGGCGGCCGGAATGGAGTACCTGGCCTCGCGACACTTTGTCCACAGGTGAGTCTACGTTCACTCGTAGGGCCGGGCCGGGCAGGGCCGGGCAGGGCCCTTAGTGCCTGTAATATTAATAAGAATGATTTCTCATGTCAAAAAGTGTAAAGGCACCCCCTGTGTGGCACACACTGAGTGAGCAGCCACTCAGCTGGTAGCGGGGGGGTGGGGGGGGGCAGGCGGTGGTACAATTGCGGCCGCACGCACCATCCCAACCGAGCGATTTGTGACCGCACAGGGATCTGGCGGCACGCAACATCCTCGTGTGCGAGCGCCTCCACGTGAAGATCTGCGACCTGGGCCTGGCGCGCGCCGCCTACAGCTCGGACTACGTGCGCGTGCGCCCCAACTCGCCGCTGCCCGTGCGCTGGGCGCCGCCCGAGGTGGTGTTCCGCGGACAGTTCTCCCCAGAGTCGGACGTGTGGTCCTACGGCGTGCTCCTCTGGGAGGTCTTCTCCTGGGGCCAGCGGCCCTACGGGGGCCGCCCCGACGCCGAGGTGGTGACGGCGCTGGGCGCGCGCCGTCTCCTCTCGTGCCCCGACGACTGCCCGCCGTGCGTCTACGCGCTGATGCGCGAGTGCTGGCAGGAGGCGCCCGCCAAGCGCCCCCGCTTCGCCGACGTCCACGCACGCGTCCGCGCCTTCTGGGAGGCCTCCTGCGCCGGCCCCGCCGCCGTGGCGCCCGCCGGGCCCGGGGGCGGCTGGCCGGCGAACGGCCAGGCGGCGGCGGGTCGCGAGTGGCAAGGGAACGGCGCCGCCGGAAGGGAGTGGAGCGCGCCCAACGGCCTCCCATGCGGCGCCCGGGACTGGGTCCAGGACGGGGCGGCCGCCGGCGTGGCGAACGGCCGCTGGGAGGCGACGAGCGCCGGGAAGCCGTCGATGGCGCTGGGAGCGCCGGGGCCGTGGGACGCCATGGGCGGCGGCGGCGGAGGAGGCGGCGGCGGTGTCGCCAGCCGCTCGCTGTCGGCCTCCGGGTCGGCCAACACAACGCAGACCACGTCGCTGAGCGCCAGCTCACTGAGCAACTACGCAGGGCCCATGGCCATGCAGCCGCAGTACCCGCCCGTGCCGCACCTGCAGCACCACCAGCAGCACCACCAGCAGCACCACCAACAGCAGCACCCGCAGCACCAGCAGCAGCACCAGCAGCAGCACCCGCAGTTTTACCACCACTACGGTTACCCCATGCCGGGCGGCCACCCGGCAGCGCAGGCTGCTGCTGTAGCTTACTCCGGCCGGTACGCTCTACCCAACAGCGCGGCGGCAGCGGCCGCAGCGGCCGCGGCGGCGGCGCACTACCCGCCGTACCACCCGGCGCTGCAGCACCACGGAACGGCCTGCCCCGTGGCCAGCGTGAGCGCCAGCGCGAGCAAGACGAGCCGATCCCACAGCAGCGCCAGCGGGTCGACCAGCACGGGCCACGGCGCTTCCTCGCACGCCGAGCGGGCCCACCACGCAGCGTCGGCGGGGCCGGCGGCGGGAGTCCACGGCCACGGAGGGGCCGACGGTCACATCACCTCCACGGCCAGCTCCAACCAGAGCTCCAACACGCCGCTGCTGCGGCAAGACGGCGACGAGGGGGACGACGATGATGACGGCGACGAGGAGATGGGCGATTACGGGGGGCGCGACGGCCCGCCGCCGCAGCAGCAGCAGCAGCAGCGTTACACTCACGCCGGCACCCCCTATGCTGCGGGCAGCCTCTCGCCGGCCTCCCAGAGTGCTGTGCAGCATCACCACCAAGTGCTGCCCCCCCCCTTGGGCTCCCAGCATGCCGCTGGGCAGCAGAAGGAAGAGGAGGATTCTGACGAGACGGCCCTTCTGGAGGACAGCGACGGGCCGACGGCGAATGAACTCTCCATCAAGGCCGAGCTGTGATTCGCCGCTTATCATCGCAGCACGTCAGATGCTTAGTTTATTATCATTATCGTCCGTTATTAATGATATAATCCGTAAATGGTCATAGGTATTGCACAATCTGCCAGAATTTATTGGCAGGTGCAAGACTCCCATCTGTGTGAGGGGGGGGGATACCTTGCGCCCATAATCTTTGAAGCCGCAGCTCCGTCGCCCGATGCCCTCTCAGAGTCGTGTGCAACAGAGAGGGCGTCGGTGCAGTCAATACCTTACTTCAAGGAACCACTTGGCAAGTCATGAAGCTGAGCGGGCGTAAACCATCGTCCGTGAACTGTGACAGAACAGCGCCGCTGCGTCCCGACCACTAGACGCATCCACCCTCGCGAGAGCCTTGACGGATGAACCCACAAAGCATGAACTTTGCACCAAGAGAGTCGCGCAAATCCAGGCGGGGACTTTTTGTAACGGAAGGGAGCGAGTTGACGGATAAAATGAAAGCGTGAACTCGGAGCCGCGCGGCAACAACCGCGAGCGGCCCGTGAAAGCGTGACGTGTTCGTGAAACCCGTCATCGCTCCGAGCCGGCTTGCAGAGCAGCACGACGGGCTGGGGCGAGTTCCAAACGAGAAACACAAAAACGTGTGCTGCGATTCCGGAATGCCGGCACGGCGGTCGGCGCGCCGTGCCAGTGGTGGGAGTTAACCTTGCTATGCAATGACGTGGGCGCAGCTGCAAACCCGCTCTTCGCTTTGCCACCCAGCACAGCGGCGCTCCGCGCAATCGTTTCAAGAAACCGATCGTTTATATATCTGATTTTTTTACATATATAATTTGACAGCGTAGAATTCGCTTCGCTGCGTGCACCTGCGCACACAGCGTACACGCGGGCCTCGGCCGATTTTAATAATTACTCGTGGCTGCCAATTGCGCGCGCTCTTAAATAATAACACACGAGCAAGCGTAGGCTAGGGCGCTCTCGCGCCACCTTCGCCAACCCGCGCACGCTGCCAAGCCGACGCCGCGATTGGCCGATGCGTTTCGGTCGCTCTCGTAGCACACCGCGGCGCCAGCGGCTACTGCCGGAGGCGGCGGGCGGGCGGGAGCCTTGGTCATGTGCCGGGGTCCAGCGGTGTGGAGCGTGTCCCGGGGCACGGTGCTAACTGACGCCAAGGGGCTTGCGGCGACCGTCAGCCGCGGACCGAGAGCGGCCGACTGGCGTGCGTCGTGTGGGGCAATAAGACGAGGAGCGTTTTTGACGGCGGCTTTTTTACAGAGAACAAAAACCGTGTGGGTTGGTGTTAAACATTAAACATTGGCGATCGTTCCTGCGGCAGTGGAGAGGGCACGGCGGGGGGCGGGGGGTGATCCTTGTATTGTGTTTCCAGATGCCATCGCCACGACCTCCTCGTTTCCAAATACCCCCCCCCCCCTCCGCTCGTCCACTCGTGTGGAGTCACCGGAGCCCACTTTCTCGCTGGGAGATTTTCCACGTCCACTGTCGCGCGACGGCGCCCTCCGAGCGGAAGAGAGCCCCCGGCCCCGCGTGTGCCTTGCAGAGAGAGAGAGAGAGAGCCGGTGGTTAATCGCGGCCCTCTTCACTGGAACGTTTTTTTAGTTCCTCTTTCCACACACTGAATGTTATATTTTTTTTATCTTTTAATTCCCCTCGCCCCCTCCGCAAAAAAATTGTATTGACCCATGTACAGTCTCTATCGCAACGACAAATCGTGTTTTTATGGTGTGTGCGCTGTATATAGGGAGATGCCCCAGCGGCAGAGTGAGCGGCTCGCGAACGGAAGGTCGCGAGTTCAAATCCTGATGGATGGGGTCGGGGGGGGGGTCGACTCGGCCCATCATCCCCTCTCCGGGGTGATAAAATGAGCACCGCTTTGTAGGAGCGAGTCAACAGAGATTGTGTTTTGTGGGTAGACTCGCCCTTGCCACAGCAATGAGGAATTCCCACCACTGGCTGCTTGCAGGGCTGTCAAACGAGAGATGTTCGTTTGATACGGGAGTGGTGGGGGTGGGGGTATTGATGGGGGAGGGAGGTGCTGCATTGAGAACACGGGGAGACAAGTGTTTGACGTTCCGTGTGCAACTCTCTCTGCCGTGCTTCGTCCCGTGTGAGCGTGTGGGGGGGGGACCACCTGGGGGAGAAGATGTGGTGGTGGGTGGGGTGGAGAGGTACCTCTATGGGTTTAAATCCTCGAGCACACGGCATTTCAGACGAGAGTACACCGATGATGAATTTGGGCCGTGGCCAGGGTCTTCAAGGTCCCGTGCGCTGCTACCAATCACGCTTGCTCCATAAAAGCGCTCTCGCCATTAGCCAGCGCTTTGCCAAATTGCTAGAAAGAATGTGTGGAGAGAAAGGGGAAGTAGGGGGAGATCGGAGGGGAAGGGGGGGGGTGGTGGCAATTTTAAAGAGGGCGGAAGGAGGGGGGGTATGTAATTGATAAAGTCGGCCGGTGCTGCCTGTTGTTCTGCGCTAAATTTCGGGCACGGAGTGGTGAGGTCAGCGATTTACCGCACCGCTCAAGGTTCAAGCCAAGTGACCTCTGACCCCCCCACCCCTCCTCTTCGCTTCCCCAGACCTAAATAAGCCCGGAGTTGGCCCAGTAATTAATGTCCAAGTCAAAGCAACTTCCTGTAACTATAGCCAGAGCGAACCACGGGGTCGCGAGGAAGAGGGGGCAAGTGGGGGGGGGGGGGGGGCTTCCACACTGTGAATTTCGCCCATTTTCAATGCGGCCGGGGCCCTCACCCCCCCCCCCCCACCCACCCCCCCGGACCAGAAGTGGCGGTGGGTGATCTTGGTTTATCCCAAGCGGCGAAGGGGTTGGGAGCGGTGCTGTTCTGCCCCGTACCTACAGATCGATCGGTGGTGCGTGCGGAGTTGTCCTCGGTGCACGTGCTCTGGTTGTCGCGCGTGGAGACCACGTGTCCGCCGATCAATCGCTCGCCCACGTGTCGATGTGAATCTCCCTGCTCCGTTGTTGTTGTTATTATTACAATAATGATTATTGTCTCTGTAGATAATGTTGTTCACCCTCATGCTAAACCACGCACCCGTGCCTGTTTTGCGTCTGTTCACCGATCACCGCCGACATGTTTTTATCTTAATTTTATTTGTAAGCGCCACGCAAGAGATTTGTTGTTGTTGTTCTCTTCTTTTCCGAATAGAGGAACATTTTAAAGTGAATCCCGCGTGGACGTCGGTGCTATGAGTGGGGTGTGGTGGCCCACACACAAGCGTCGGCGGGCTTGTGTGCGCGTGCATGCGGACACGTGTGTGTGCGAGTGCTGACACGTGTGTGTGTGTGCGTGCATGGTGGGGAGCGGTAGTGTAGCGGTTAGCGCTACGCTGCGCTACGAACCTGGCGACCCGGGTTCGATTCCCGCTCACGGCCAAAATCAGTGACGATTATCTGAACCGGTCCTGGGCCTCCCCTAGGTCGACTCAGCCTAAAATGAGTACCTGGTGCGGTGTGTAAACATCGTCACTGGGGAGACAAAGGCGGCCGGGCGTGGTACTGGCCACCCACCCCCTCGTGTGTCGTGCTGGCCTTCACAGGTGCTCGCTAACAGCACTTTCCCCTACAGTCTGTTAAGACTACACGGGGGATCTTTGTCTTTGTGTTTTTTTGGTGCGTGCATGCGGACACATGTGCATGTGTGTACATTAGTTATGGGGAGCGGTGGCACAGTGATTTAGCACACTGCTACGAACCCTGCCCCCAAAGCTGTGAAAAGCCATGGGAGGCAGGCGGGCGGGAGGGCGGGCAGGCGGGGATCCTTCATCTCTGTGTCCACCACCACCTCCGCCGCCACCACCTCCACCACCACCGCCGCCAACCCCACCACCACCGCCACCTCGGTACATCACCGAGGCCGCCAGGAAATTGTTGCCGGCAGCGCTCTGCTCGCGTCTCCGGCTCGCGTTCAGAGGGCACGGGGCGGTGGGGGTGGTGGTGGGGGCTAGGGGGCTTTGGCGGAGGGTGTGCGCGCAGTAGGAGCTGAGCGAAGAGAGAAATTCCGGCGCTGAGGTTTTCAATGTTCCACCCCCTGCTGCTTCAACCGAACGCGGCTCGCTGGGGACGAGAGTCGATCAATCGCCGGGGACGAGTCCCCCACCCACCCCACCCGCTTCTTCCACGCTCCTCGCCTCCTCGCCCGCCCCAGGTTCCCAGCGCACGCTCGGAGTTTCGTTTCGTTTTCAAGCGTCACTCGTCAAGTCGGCACACAACACTCGGTCCGTCTCGCGCCACCACCCTCTGCCTCCCCAAGCAAAATCGGAATATTTCCTCCCACCTCCTGCTTCAACAGCACTCCCCCCCCCCCCCCCCCCCCAATAATCCTCATGTACTCCTCGAGTCGATGTGCTTGGGGCAGGACACGTGGTCACTCGACGGTGCGATGGGCGGGACTGGTGACCGAATGGCAGCTGTAGGAGAGGGGACAGCGATCGGTTTGTGGTGCGTGAGTGAGGCGGATGGTGGCGTAGCGCTCGATGGATCCTGAGCAACGGCGACGGCATTGAAGGCCTTCATCCAGCAGTAGATAGACCGTGGCCCTGCGCTGACCCTCACGGTGTCTGCACGGCCTCCGAGTGTGTCCGGCCCCTGGTGTTGGGCTGCCGAAGAATGGAGGAGAGCGGCGTCCGTTCCCGGCGAGGGAACCTGGGCCACGTGTGCCACTCTCAAACGCGCACGCGCGCACACGCACGTACGCACGCACACACGCACGCAAAGATCCTCCGCCCCCCTCCCCCCGTATAACTTCCACAGACTTGTGTGGGGGGCAAGTGCCCATCCTAGTTGTGCTGTTCGTGAGCGGCACCTAACGAAGGACACCACGGCCCCCGATGCGGTGGGTGGCCAGCACAACGCCCGGTCGCCTTTGTCTCCCGAGTGTCGATGTTGACACACACCGCACCAGCAACTCATTTGAGGTTGACCTAGACACGCGCGCGCGCGGAGTGCGCCACGTGAACGCGCGTGACGCGCGTCGCTCGTTCAACACGCGGCATTCCCAGACGGGGGGAGGGGGGGGGGGGAGGCGAAATAATTAATCAGCAACCGAACACCGAGAGCAAGTTGACGGATTTCTGTGATCGCCCGTGGCGCCCCCTCTCAACGCCGTGAGGAGTCGGCGCCGTCAGCCACGAAAGCGGCCGGCGCTTGAGCCGCGGAGAAACCGGTGCCTGCCACCTGCCTCGCCTACATTCGCGTCTTGTGACACGGGCAAGAGGAGGAGGAGGAGGGGGGGGCAGTGATGTGATGTGGGATGTGAGACAGGAGCCAGCACCTGTATGATTAACGCTCTCTTTTAATTCAATGTCGGGGTGGCCGCGGTTCGCGCCGAGCGCTTTGGGAACTCCACGAGCCGCCGCTACCACCACCGCCACCACCACTCCCTTGCGGTGAAGGGGGAGGGAGCGTCGTCGTTGTGCGGACACGGAGTGAGGACGACGCCGCCTCCACCTCGACCACCACAGAACAAACGCCACGGTTCTAGGTCTGCACGAACTGAGTGTGTGTGTCTGCGTTACGAAAATCGCCGTGCGCGCGCGATCCTTGGGGAAGTTTCCAGATCCCGACTCTGGCTCGGACCAAACTTCTGGGCGGCCAACACCACTTGGGAAGGCGTTGGAGGGTGGTGGTGGTGGGGTGGTGGTGGGGGTGTCACGCGGCTCGCATCTGTGTTTGTCCGCTCGCCACTGCCGGGTCTGGTGCGGTCGTTCTGCTGGAGTCTGGGAGTTCAGCGGGCCAGCGTTTGTTTGTATTCGGCCTTCCGGTCGTCCCATTTTGCTAAGCCCTGGGTAAACAACTCAACATGAGACGAGCCACCAGACGCCCCATCCTGCACCCCCCCCCCCACTCCATCCCGCCCCCCACCTACCGCGCCCTTCGCAGGGCACAACTTCAGCCTAGCAGCTGATATTCCTCGTCTATTGTTCCCATTCGTTTTCAAATTGCGCTATTGTCATCACCGTCGCCATCTCTTACGCGGCAAATTGTACGTAGGGCCCTCTCCCCCAAATGGTTCGAGTCGATTTTGTTTTAGCGGAGTCGAGAAATTCGCGCCGTGGATTCAACTGGCGCGCCGAGAGCTCGAACCGCTCGAACCGGACGCGGCGACTCGCCGATAGGATTGCAAGCCGAGAGCGCAGGACAAGCCTCCCCGTCACCTCCGCCGGATGGCCGCTGTAACCTTAAATATCGCGGCGCTGCCGGGTCGTGTTGCGGCATCGCGGGGTCGGGAATGGGGGGGAGGGGAGGGAGGAGATGGGGTGGGTGGGTGGGTGGGGGAGGGAAGGTGCAGGAGGCGGCGGCGAGGGGTGGGGGTTGCTCCTACCGTGGCCTTTCCCAGGGTGTGTGAGTGACGGCGCTCACATTTAGACCGCGTTTCATCTCCCCGGATCGCGTCGCCAAGCCTCGCCTCGTAGCGTAAGCGCTACCAGGTGTACTGGCCAGGCAGCCTGCCTGCCTGCCTGCCTGCCGCACTCAACTCCCCAACCCCCCCCCCCCTTCGTCTCACTCTCCGTCTCTCTCACTCCCTTTCCAGCTCGCTCTCCCTCCCCCTCTCCCTTCTTCCCTCTACCGCCCTCTCATTCCCTCCCTCTCTCTCTCCCTTGCTCTCTTTTTTTACGATCAGTGGAAACAAAAAGATGCTCGGTGTAGTCGGCACTTTGCTTCGTTCATCATTTCGTAATTTTTTTTAATTTAAATTTTTGGTTTATGTAAACCCCCACCTCTCGCTCACTCACTCGGTCACTCTCTCTCTCTCCATTCCTCTCCTCCACTCGCTCTTTCCTGCTACCTCCTCATTCCCTTTCTCTTCATTCTTCATTCCTCTATCTCCCCATCTGCCCCCCCCCCCCTCCCTCTCTTCGTCCTCCCTCTTTCCCTCCCTCTCTTTTTTTACGATCAGAGGCAACAAGAAGATGCTCGGTGTATTCGGCACTTTACTTCGTTCATCATTTCGGTTTTTTTTCAATGCTTTGCTTTATGTGCCCCCCCCCC